GGTACACTGCATTATAATTTGAGCACAAAGATGATGAAGAAAGCAATCGTGTCATCTAGAGCAACAGCAGATCTTTCAGATAACTCAGTGAAGCCAGAGTTACAGTCAACCTTACTGCTGATGTCTAAGTTTTCAAAAGACTGCTAGTATGAGGAAATGTTTATCTTTATTTTTATAATTTCTACTGCTACTCTTGTATGTGAAGTGATGACACTAAGGCCTTAAATTTTTATACTAGCGTTCAATGAAAATTTGAAATTATGTTATGAAATTATCAAGTTTAAGGTAAGATATTTTCTGGGGCACATCAGGATTGCACAACAGATCTGCTGAATTGTAAAATTTTAGAATTTTTTGGCACAATGGAGTACTTCCTCTTCTGTTATAAATAGTGCTTTCATTGTCTCAGGTCTCAGGTTCTATGGATGCTTACGTTGGTGTGGTGGGTTGGCCTTGTCTGGATGCCAGGTACCCACCACAGCTCCTCTCTGCCTGCTGGCAGGATAGGGCACAGGAAGTGTGACCAAAGGCTCACGGGACAAGAGGCGGACTGTCTTGGCCAAACAGTGGCGGTCCACCCTGAGGCCAGCTGGAACTGGCTCTTCTGAAAGGAGAAACTTCCAGCAGCTTCTCACAGAAGCCACCCCTGTAACCCCCTGGCTACCAAAACCCAGCCACACAAGCGCTGTGCAATAGTATGAAATGCAGCTCCCCACGCTTTCAGCCTCGGTACCACTGACACCATTCTAGCAGGAACAGCCAGGATCCTGTCAGCCTCACCAGAGCCCTTCTATTGCCTTCTTTCTAAAGCACTTTCTTACACCACCCTGTTGAGATGAAGACAGTTACTGAACTGCCACCATGAAAATCAGATTTTACCCAGTACTGTTGTCATTTGTACCTCAAAGCTGCTCTGGTGGTTTTCTTTTTTACCTTAGTAATCAAAACATTTTGGCCTCAGGGTTCCAAATCACTTAACAAGAAACCACCTTGCTAGGCTTGTGTAGCTCACAAGAAATTAGGCAGGAAAAATATCCTTTGGGAACTGAGTTTGAATAACATCTGCCTAAAACTGCCTAACTGCCTAAAAGTCCAATATTTTTGATCTACAGAGTTGTTATTGCAACAATGACCTGGTAATATCCAATGCTCGCCTGCAGGCCAGTAAATACTGTTTTGCCATTATTAATAAAGAGCTACAAGGCTTTCAAAGCCTCAGGACTGAGGGATGTCAGATTTGTTTTGCTTGAACTCACATAGGCTTGTCTGGAGCTCTGTCTTAACTTGTTTAGATGTAGCATCAATTTTCCTTAGGAGGTGGCTATGCCAAATTTCATTTACTTTAACCTCTGCACTGAAAACCAGATTTGATCTAAGCCATAGTAACAAGCAGTCATTCTGTGGAGAAGGAAATATTTATCACTAATGCAGAAATACAGGCCTAGCATGACAGCAGAGGCCCTGGAATCAATGAAGTGTATGGAGACACACATGCATGCAAACATACAAGAGCAGCTTCAAGCTTTGTAGAAACTGGAGTGCTACACAGCATTTGAAGCCCACATATTGATTCTATTCAGGAAAAGCAAAAGCAGACTCCACTTGGAAAGCCACTCAAAGAGCCCTGGCTGCATAATCTACAGTTCTGCAAGTCACTGTATAGTTACAGATCACACTCTCGTTCTTAGCAACTCAATACATTTTAACTGGAATTTGAATTTTTGTCTTCATGAAGTTTCCACACATTTACAAAAATATAATCATGTTCAAATGGATAAAAAAGGGAGAAAAAAAATCACTAGAAGGTTAATTAAGGTATGGAAAAGCTTATTTGTACAAGCTGTGGAATCTTCACCCCTAGGGTCTTTTGACACCAGGCTGGAGAAAGTCCAGAATGATATGGTTGGATTTCAGTACTGACCTTGCTTTGAGTAGGAACTGGACTTAATTTTGACTGGACTTGACATTGCTGCAAAAGGATCTCCCTCTTTTCCCATCTGAATTAGTCTGTAGTTTTGGTTCATACTGGTACTGCTAAAACACTTGCTTTCAATCTCTGTAAAAGCAAAGAACTTCTAAGCCATGGATTTCAACACAAAAACATGATGCATTGGTGTTGAGGAACTCTTTTGTTCAAAAATATACAAATTAAACATCTTGGAAATTAAAAAAGGTAACATATTATTCATACATTTTGTCTGTAGACATGATGGTGAAAGTGAATTTATTTGTTTATTTTTACTTCCTGTGTCTTAGAAAAAACACACACACATTTTTTATCAGCTTGACTTGCATGTTGCTATTGTAAACCTCTGCTTTAGAGGTGTTAAGCTTCAGCAGCCTGATCTAACAGAGTGAAGAGACTTTAGATGAGTTTTTCTTTATTTTTGAGGGGGATTTTGTGCTAGGAGGAGCAGGTGGGCTGAAAAGCCATGAGATATTAGTTATTTCAAGTGAAACAGCTCTCATCAATTGTTCGGTGTAACTAAAGAGTACACAGTTTCCTCAGCCTTCTCTAGGCAGAACTGGGAACAGTGTTCCTTAGTTCTGAGGGGAAACATATTTGAAGTTTTATCATTATTTTACCATCTGGTGAATGATGTGCAGATTAACAATTGGAATGTACTAGAACACTAAAAGGGGAACAGGAAAGTTTGCTTTGCCTACAAGTTTCACAGATCTGCTGCATAAAAAGTTCTCTGGAGTCATTACCCAGGAGTGAACTACAAGTCAGGCCAATTTAAACAGGATGCAGCAGCACAGCCACCACAGGCTTGCATTTACAATTATCTTCCCATCTACAATTGCACGTTGACCAGCATACCCCAGAACATCTTCTGGACTTTATACAAACCACAAGCCACACACAGAACTGGTTAGGCTGGCCAGTGTTACCTTTAAAGTTTCAACAGCCTCAGAAAAACAAACAAACAAACAAAAGCAGTACTGCTGGTGTTATCAATAGAGAAAATACACTGCTCTATTTACACACTGTGTCAATTATTCCNAACAGGAAAGTTTGCTTTGCCTACAAGTTTCACAGATCTGCTGCATAAAAAGTTCTCTGGAGTCATTACCCAGGAGTGAACTACAAGTCAGGCCAATTTAAACAGGATGCAGCAGCACAGCCACCGCAGGCTTGCATTTACAATTGTTATCTTCCCATCTACAATTGCACGTTGACCAGCATACCCCAGAACATCTTCTGGACTTTATACAAACCACAAGCCACACACAGAACTGGTTAGGCTGGCCAGTGTTACTTTTAAAGTTTCAACAGCCTCAGAAAAACAAACAAACAAACAAAAGCAGTACTGCTGGTGTTATCAATAGAGAAAATACACTGCTCTATTTACACACTGTGTCAATTATTCCACCTGTTTCCCACTTCATAGATATTTCCTAGCTTATACTTATGGCAGCTACAAAAATGCAGTAACAGATCCTGTAAGAAATTGCTCCTACATTTCCGCTTTTCTCGTAGATCCCTTTAGAAGATCCTTTTTTACCCAACTCCTTCCCAAACTCATTTGGACGAATTTGGACTGTCATCTGATTGACCTAAGGAGACTGCTGTGACCACCCACAATGGCCAGGCCTTTGCCCCAGCTGTCAGTGTTCAGTCACCAAAGATGCACGGCCAGGACCCTCCGGGTGCACTGTGCACACAGTGCCAGGTCTGTCATGAGCCCTCAGGAAAACTGAAGGGGCCTTGAGGATTTTATGGACTCAGGGCCTTGCTTTTTCTATGGAGAGGTGTGGGGAGCACCTGTCCCTACGGACCAGGTTCCAAGCACGTTTTCTCCGTGTCTGGCTCCAGCACAGCCTGGGTGTCCCTGTGTGCTCCAGCTGCTCAGAGCCACAAGTCCTCCGGGCCCCTCACTGCACCTCTGTGGGTCCCACAGCCTGTGGCAATAGTGACACGGGCAGGCACAGCTTTTGCCAGCCAGCAAACAGCTAATTAATTATGGTGAGACTTGAGAATTCATCAGTCAAAATCGGGGATTTCACTCTCTCTTAAGATCACAGCCTGCATCCTCCAGAACAAGGCAGGCTTCAGAGCTGCCTGTGTGGCTGCGAGGGTAGGTGGCAGGAATCTGTGCATCCTCAGCGCCCACAAGATTGTCCCCGCACAAGTTGTAATTATGGCAATGTTCCCCTCGGCCAGACACAGCTGCTGCCCCGAGCAGCAGGTTCTGCCTGTGCCAGCCACGCCTCAGTTCACGGGAGGCAGGCAGGGACAAGTCTTTGCAACTAAAGGCTGAGGAGAGGGCATTTTCTGAGCAACACTTCTTAGGATTTGG